CACTGTGATCGAGTTTGGGGGATTCTGGTGAAGGGTTCTGAATATCTCCCTCTTCATTCCTCCCAAAATCTACAATACTTATTCTATTGAGCTATTACACCAGTTTTAACACCTTCCTAGTGGTAATTTTTTTAAATAAATAAATTTAAGAAAATCATTTTAATATTATGCACAGTTACAGCCTTGAAAACTCAAGGTGGCACCTTGTAGCATCAACTTTAGGTGCTTTATTTGGTGCATTTAACACAATTGGTAATTGCAAAATCCTCTTCAGAAAAGTATACTGTTATCTGTTGGCCCTATGAAATTCTGAACTTTACATTTAGTATAGACTCTACCGTCATTACTTCTGGCAAGATGTCCTGCCTTAGCACTCAGTTGCATTCTCTTTCCTGTTCATTATGCTTTAATTCTGAAGACCATATGAGGGTAGAATATATTCAAAATTATAAAAATTTGTATAGGCAAACCATTTCCTTAAGTTGATGGCCAAATGTTAAAATGTTATTTTTCATATCATTTACAGTCTTGTCACAGTCCACTTAATGAAGTTTGGTTAGATTTCAATGAAAATTATCTTCCAAAGTAGTTTTTATTTTCCTCTGGGTTCTGAGGGGGGATAAACTTGACTACAATTAGTATGTATGGTGCAGAAATTCATGCAAATGAGGTGTGCCAGCAGTGTGATAATTTAAATGTATTTAAACAAAAACAAAAAATGGTGAATGCACAAACTTGCTGCTGCTTAGATCACTGAGGCTTCTAGGATCCAGTTTCTTTTACTGATTTAAAAACAAAATAAATAAATAAAAAGTTGTGCCTGAAATGAATATATATATATATTTTTAGTAAGTAGTCGCCTGATTCCTGTGTCCTGTAAAATACAGGCATTTGACCCTTGTTTTAGCTTCTGTTCGACTTTATATTATGGGAACGGATTGGTCTGATTTCTTGGCCCTCATTTTGAATTGACCACGTACAGGACAGAGTCTCTGCCCAGTGGAGTGAAGGCTTTGTCCTCAAGATGACAAGGGTCAGCTCAGGGGGTGTGGTTGAGGGACTTTTTACCTTCCCCATTGTCATTTGAATTTTTGAGCTCTGGGCAAAGAGGCCATTTATCTTTGTAAACACAAAACATTTTTGCTTTCTCCAGTTTTGTTAGTGGTGAAAGAACAGAAGAGAATAAAGTTTTACTGATTTTTGAAAAAAAAATCCGTATATTGCTTTGGGTAATATGGCCATTTTAACTATGTTGATATTTCCAATCCATGAACACGGAATAGTCTTCCATTTCTTTGTGTCTTCTTCAATTTCTTTTAATAATGTCTTGTAGCTTTCAATGTATAGGTCCTTCACATTCTTTAGTAAGTTTGTTCCCAGGTCTTTTATTCTTTTGGGGCATGAACATAATTTTGAAAAGGAATCATGAGTACTACACAAAAATGACTGGCTTTTCTTATTTAAGATTCCCAAGAGAGATAAGAGATAAGAAATGATCTCTATTACAGTTCTCTGCTGGAATCTAAAAATGAGTTTTGGAGTCAGAGGATCTTGCCTCGACTTGTGGCTCTACCACTTAAGGCTTTGTGACCTCAGATAAGTAACCCCTAAGAGCTTCATTTCCTTCATCGGTATTTTTCGGTTATCACCCATGCTTTAGGGTATATTTTTTAGAGTTCCAATGAATGATCAGTGAAAGAAAATCACTTGTGAAGTGCAAATGCTATACAAGTACAAATGTACTAAGCAATGGTAACTTTTCATAGCCTACATTAGAGGACTATAAGTCATAAAAAGGAGAATTGTATTTCTATTACTTATGTCTAAGGTACTGAAGATAAAGCTGTATTGTCCCAAATACAAAGTTGATCTTCTTTAAAATACAGGGAAAAATGAACCCCTTCCCTGTCTTTTATATACAGTCAGACAAGCAGAGCTGCGTGAATGTCTTTCCATCGTCACACCAGCTCCCATTAGTTGTTGCACCTGGCTTCTTCTGCACCAGCTCCAGAAATAGTTCCAGCCTGAAGGGAGACATGCAGTGGCTAGAACTGCTGTGAGGAATTGGTTAGGGTCCCATGAAGAGTTAAAGGCCCACTTAATAAAAAGAAGAAAATTCCTTCTTTGAGTCCCCCTATTTTACATAAAATGCATGGCCAGAGTCGAATTTCTGTTTGCATTGTTCATTTGTAAAATCTGACAATTCAAATTTATTCTTTATTGTCTGTTTCTATACTTCATGGACTTCTGTAGAAAAATATTTCTCCAGACCCTCACCCCCCACTGTTGCTATTCTGAGCAAATTATATTTATATATGATATTTATAATTATATTTATATATGATATATTTCTTTTGTGGTTATTTTTCTTTCAAATGTGTTCAAACAGCCGATATAATTTAGTTGTATGATTAAATTTTAATTTTAATATTTTTTAATATAAATTTACAAACTCACAGAATATACTCTTTTAAGTACTTTCCATTGTACACTAAGTCATATACAGTATAGGAACTAATTTACTCTTGAAATTCAACTCAGTAGTAGCACTACTTAGAAGTATTTGTGTCTAAGGAAAATCTAAGAAAAATTGGGGTAGCCAATTCCATCACTCATGAGGCTTTTTTTTTGGTTGTCATGTCTCTGTAGACATTTAAAAATATAATAACTTTATTAATATATAATATACATACTATCCAATTCACCCATTTAAAGTGTACAGTGTAGTGAATGGGTTTTAGTATATTCAAAAATTGTGCCACCATCACCACTATCTAGTTCCAGAATATTTTAATCATCCACAGTGGAGACCTCCTACCCATTGAGAAGTTCCTTTCTGCCCTTTCCCAGGCCCTCACAACCACTAATTTGCTTTCTGACTATGATTGCCTATTCTGGATATTTAATATAAATGGAACCATACAATATGTGGCCCTTGTGACTGGCTTCCATTTAACATAATGTTTTTGAGGTTCATTCATGTTGTAACATATATCAGGACTTCATTCCTTTTGATGGTGGAATAATATTCTATTTTGTGAATATATCACATTTTGTTTATCCATTCATCTGTTGATAGACACTTGAGTTTTTTCCCACCTCTTGGCTATCGTGAACAGTGCTGCTATGAACATGAGCGCATAAATATCGCTTTGAGACCCTGCTTTCAATTCTTTGGATATATACCTAGGTGTAGAAGTGCTAGGTCATATGGTAAATGTTTAACATTTTGTTTGCCAGACTGTTTGCCACAGCAGCTGCACTGTTTTACATTCTCACCAGCAATGTATGCCAAGTCCAGTTTTTCTCTTTTTTATTACAGCCATCCGAATGGGTGCGAGGTGGTGTCACATTGTGGTTTTCATTTGAATTTCCCCCATCCAGCTTTTTTCAGAAACATATATATATTTTAAATGTTTTTCTGGAGGTCATTTGCCTGACAGCCTTCGCCCTCTAGAACATGGCCCTGCATGAAACATATTGCGAAAGGGCCCCCAAACCAGTAAGAGCAGTTGTACCTTCTGCATGAAAGCCCTGCACTTTGCTCCCTTAGGCCTCTCATTCAGTGAGTAACTCTTACTCAACAGTCATGATTGGCTGTTATGTTTTCCAGAAGGGAGACAGACAGTCCATTATGGCAGATATTGTGGCAGAAAGAGAAGTAACAGAAGTAACAATAATCTACCACTGAAGGAGGAGAACAATAATACTTCGCAAGACATTTATGACCCCGAGTCTTCAACTTGGCCAGATTTTATTCAGTATTTTCTAAGAAGGCAAAGCTACATGTAATACATTTTAGAAAGATTTCCATGAAGAGTGACTCAGAGACACACATTTTGCTCTTGAATGGATAAGCTTGTGTAAATTTGCTAGATACCTAATTTACCAATGGTATCTGAAAAATTAGGTGATATTGAGCTTCATCTTAAATGTGGAGAGGATAAATAGATTTAGATTCTGTGAAATTGCTGAAGATATTGTTTTAAAAAGTAAATGAAGTGTTTTCAAGAACTTCAATTCTATTTTTTGATGAAGCTAACAATTAGTTGATTTGTCTGATACTCTGAGCTTACTTTAGCTTTAGAAAAATCCCTGTTATTTCAGTATGTGTTCTGAGCACAATGCCAATAAATTCACCTTTCATCTGTTTTATCAGCTGAGTTGCTCGAAGTTGTTGCTAGTTGACACTGGGTTAAACTGCAGACTTAAAGCTACAGAATATTTGATGTCTGAGTGAACAGTGCTTTGTGTCTCGCTTATATGTATAGGCTGAAACCTCCTTCTGAATTGTTCCAATATCCCTTCATAGAAACTAGTAACTAATAGAGCATGCACCGAAAATAAAATCCAGCATCTTTCCAAAGGATTTCTTTACCTGAAGCACAGTTTACATTTCCGTCCTCTATCCTATCTCATTTGCAGTGGGTCTCCAGCTAGTTATGTCATGACCGTTTTATGTGATCATCAACAACTACATTTCAAATACACACACCGAGTTCCCTCTTAGAGCAACTTAAGTTTTCTTACCAATTACTGTTTCCTGGAATTTGACAGCAGATAATCAAGCCTTCAATCAGAACATAGTAAAGCCAGTTTAAAGACAAGTCTTCGGTAGCCTCTAAAAACTGGAGACATGCAGGCAGATCATAACTGCATAAGGGACTGTCACGTCAGGCCCCCACTGTGCAGTGGACCCAATAATGAATTTTTGCCCCAAAACAGATCAAAATGAAGCATTCCTTTTCTTTTCCGCATTGGGTTGTTGCCCAGTCTTGTACTGCAACAGTAAATCTAAGTGGTTATTTCCTTTTACTATGTACAATTCTACACAGGGAAATGCCCATTTTATTGACAATGGCTGACTGCACTGTGTTGTGTTGTCAGTATGTAGATGCTTCCTGTTTTAAATAGGATATGGTTGCTTCTTTTCCAAATCTAGGGTTTAAATCAGAAACATTGTATTATATTAACTAATTTTATTTTATTTTTTCTTGCAGGTTTCTGAAAAGGTGCGTTTTCTGAAAACTCTGCTGCTTGGGTTCCACTCTAGAGCTATTTCTTTATAAACACCTCTCCCTACCAACCTGCCCCCCCAAAAAAACAAAACAAAAAGCTATTGTGCTTATAGTTCACACTCAGCAACTCTCCGTTCTTTTTTTCTTTGATGCCCAGTTTTTCATAGCCAATTTTCCTCTTCCTGCTATTATAGCAAAAAAAATTTTTTACAGTTGTGCCATCCCTACCAATCTTAATCTTTAAAGCCAAAAAGTAGAGGGGAAAACTTTCCCCTTGAACTGAGACCATTCCACAAATTGGAGGGCAGCCAACAGCATATGCTTTTTGCAAGAATAATTGAAAACATCAACTGGAGAACAGAATTCTTTTGAAAGTCTACCAGTTATTTGAAGTAACATTGGCAGAAGAAAAAATAAAACACTCAATATCTTAACCTTTATGGTTGCCTTCTTAGGATTTGGTCTCTAATTTGAATTTTAGTTATTCTGATACAATTTTTATGTATGATTGGCTTTTTGTTTGACTAAACAAAATTTAACTTAAATGAAAACCTAAGTGCTAACAACAACAACAAAAAATTTCACCAAAGCAAACTGATCTCCTTATATTTAATTTGAACTCATTTTTAATCTTTTGACAGCATTAATACTGCCCTAGAGAGGGTGCACTTGATTTTAATTTTGCTTTCAATATGACGGCTGTCAATGTTACCCTGGTTCGTGATACCAAGTGGCTGACTTTAGAAGTCTGTAGAGAGTTTCAGAGAGGAGCTTGCTCTCGAGCTGATGGAGACTGCAAGTTTGCCCATCCGCCAAGATTTTGCCATGTGGAAAATGGTCGTGTGGTAGCTTGTTTTGATTCTTTAAAGGTGAGTCTCATCTAAATGTGCATTATGTGGAATATAAATCTGTTGATTTCTGTTGTTTTGGAATATGGCTGCTTTGAAATTGGTAAAGTTAATAATAGCATGAAAGTCGTAAGTTTTGTTTGTTCTTTAAGACAAGATGTAGACTTTGTGTTTGTAGAACTAAGCCAGACTAAAGCTCAGCCCATCAAAGTCCACTGATAAAGAGAGAGAGATTTAAAGAAAAAAATTGCAAGAATTTTTGTAGGAATGAGAAAGTGCAGCCTTGCCATACTTCTTTGTGTATGACTTAGGCTTTGAATATATTGATCATAATCATCATATAACCTACAGAAACCTTTTACTGAATTATAGCTTATTATCTATGTTATGAAAATACACTTGACAGGGACCAGTCAGCTTTCAGAGGATAAATAAAGTCAGACCTAGAGAGTATAAGATGAAAATCTCACTACCCAGAAAGAAAATGATGGCATTTTGAAGCTTCTTAGTCAAAGTATATTTTGAATGTTTAACTTAGATATATTGTTACAAAACTAGGTTCACTAGTTTTCTCTTCCTGAACTGCTTATTGACCAATTTCAGATTTGTGAGTACATTTTATGAGGAAAGTTCTATCACCAAGGTCATCAAACCCAAATATGTATTAGAGAATAAGCAAAATATGAGAGCAAATGAGATATTATGTAGAATAGAATATATATGATTGCAGAACAAGAAAATGCACTGATTTTCATGTTTTGTTCATAGTTATCCTTACATTAAGGATAAAGATGTACAAATTAAAGTATAGAAGTAAAGTGATAGATTCCTGGTTTAATTAATAAGATTTGCTTTCAAGATTGTTTTTCAAAATATGTCAAAATGAATTAAGCTTACTAAGAACCTTTTCAGTTTCTTGATATTGTTTTATCCTCATCATAACCAGTTTTACCTCATCAACACTTTTATTTATGGATGCATTGGCTAATAGAGATGTATTCCTTCATGTGATCTTTTCTTTGGAAAATATTTATCAAGTGATATCCTACTTAAGTAGTTTTTCTTATTTTGTGGTTACTAGTTTTTGTTGAAGATCATTCCAATTCAAGAGTGGATACTTATTATCATAAAGATAATGGTAATTCCTACTATTGAAAATGTCTGGATTGCTTTTATTTGCAGCAGATATTAGGACGAAGGGACTCTTTCTGATTTCTTCATTTCAGTATCATTCACATTTCATCTACAATTATTTTGTATATTATTCAAATCTACCACTGCAGGACTGGGCAGTGCCACGAAGTGGAAAAGAGCTCTGGGTTAGTTGGGGTGGGGGAAGGTGTCTTTCATTCAGTCCGTATAGAGGGTCTGGCACTGCACTAGGCACTTTACATATGTTGTTTCAAGAGCTCTGGGGTATAGTCCCAGCCCCACTACTGACCTCAGCTACTTAATCTGACAAAGCTTGAGTTACTTCTTCTCTAACAGATGGGTAATTAACCTCTACTTAATCTCCATGATTATTGTGGAGATTCCAATAAGATACCATAAATGAAAAACCATGTATCACCACAAGTGAATTAAATGAGAGTTATTTTCTTACTATTAATTAAGATTTTTTTTGGAGTCTTCAAAACAATTCTGTTTAGTTAGAGTTTATTATTTAAAACTACAAACTCAGGTTCCAAATGTATATGCCCCAGTCTAGTTGCCATGATTGTGATGTTAGGTCTTCAAGTTAAGTATCAGTTTTTATGGTTTACTCTTTGATACAGAGTTCCTTGCAGGCTTTGTAAATTCTATCTTTCCAGGCATCTGTTAAAAGGAGACGTGTGATCTTCCTAATCATTGACATACTTCAGATCAGTTCTCCCATTTAAAGGCAATAAAGTGCCATAAAGGAAACATTTTGAGGAAAAGTAATATGGAAAGTGATGGTTAGCAAAATACATACTGCACTACCACTTTAAAGCTTGTAAAATGTTTAATTCAGAAACTATATAGATAATGGCCAATGAATATTAGTAAACCACATAATTATTTAAATATACTATCTACTCACTATATTTAGTGTTTTTAAGATAATGTTTACATTATGTTACTATCTTAATGACCAATGACACAGGATATAGACAATTTACGTAATTGTTACATTTTCAAATTTTAATGAAAACCTTAATATTTCAAATATACAGTGCCTTTTAAACAATTAATTAATTTGTCATTTAGATAGCACATTCATCACATTTCTATGTCTCCATAAAAGTTTTATAGTTATCTTCTTTCATATTATTCCTTATTCATAAGTTGAGGGTAATTGACCTATATGGGTTGTACTACTATCGTATGTAAAATATACAAATAACATACCTCAATGGTTAGTGCAACATTTGCTACCCCCCCTTGAGTTTGTATAGTTGAAACACCTTTGAAATGCATCTGTATAGTGTTTCTTCTTTAATGAGTGGTTAAATAACTGAAGCAATCATTTGATGACTTTTGGGCTGCTGCTTTTTTTTTTATTTTGGTAAGGACTCCATTAGCACTAAGTACTCTGCCAGATGGTGATGGTTCTTTTCCTTCATAATAGGCACAATAGATATAATGTCCTATACTGACCTCATAATGAGGGGATGTTATGAAAATAAGGGGGCAAGCTTGACAGCTAATTGTGCATTGTGCTGAAGTTCTATGCCCATCACTCCATGAATGTTGAGTGTTCAGTGATGAAGGTTGCACCATCTTCAGATAGAGCTCTAGACAGCGCAGCCCATAGATTGATTTCCAGCTACATAAAAGTATTGTGTTATGTTGAAATGCATCTGTTTTTAACTCAATTGCCTAGTCTGCTTGACACAATGAATTCTTCTCCAAATACTGCTTAACCCATTCTGCACCAATTTCATGCTGTGACATCTTGCCATTGATCTAGGTTGGTATTTTTAGTGAGTGTCCTTGGGAGTTAACAAAAGATCATGACTAAAAATACCAACCTGGAATCTCTGTGATTATTATCATAACCAAGGTTGTTATCTTCACGTATTCTGCTTCAACAATGTCACGTCTTGAACCTTCCCCTCCATACTTGAAGCAAGGTGATATCAACCAGCTGTTTTCCGGAAATAATATAAATGCTGTCATTATTTCATTATGATAGATCAACACCCATCACATCTGCCCACCCGACTCACCACTTTGGGTAGTTTTGTAACAAAAAGTTCTCGTGAAAGGCCTTAGCAGCAGGCATAGTCAGAGAACAGTCATGTCAAACCATATACATTCCTAAAATATTTGAACTGGATGAAGAATGCACATAAAACAGCTCCACACTATCATCAAACATCACATATGATCAGAAGCATATTTTCACAAGTGAAACCTGTTCTATAGGCATATGAATGGTACTCTATCCTTTTAGGTCAAATTGTCCTGAATTTACCAGTATATTCTGTACTAGTATGACTAGTCATAGCAGTTTTTACTATTTTAAAATTTGATTATTTTTGATTGAATATTTACTTCATTCCTGTTTGCTGAGAGAAAACTTACCAGGAGCAGAAGAATCCTAGTAAAATAGTCCCAGGGATCACTGAATTATTGCAAGATTTAGAACCATTTGTGCACTCCATCTGAGAGGTCTGCCTGCACTATAAAGACAAAAAGGCAGCCCCTGTCATCCTGAGACTAAAGGAAAATAACATTTTGCTTAAGGATCTCTATTCTCTATGATACCGACTTTAAAAAGGAAATATCTTTGGTAAAAGTCAATGCTATTTTGGACATTTCAAAACCTCTTTTAAAAGAAAAATGTAATGACAATTAGTACCTAAATACATATTGATAGCTCAGCCTCACTTTTTCAACTTTTTATTTTGAAATAATTTTAGACTTACACAAAAATTGTACAGGGAATTTTTGCATACCCTTCACCCAGGTTCCTGTAATGTGAACAATTTATGTGTCATACATAGTACAGTTATCAAAACTGGGAAATTAACTCTAGTACACCATTAACTAAACTAGAGACCTTATTTGAATTTCACCAATTTTTCCCATAGTGTCCTTTCTCTGTCCCAGAGTCCAGTGCAGGATCCCACACGGTATTTACTTGTCATGTCCCTTATGCAGTCATTCAATCTATGATGGTTCCCCATTCTTTCTTTATGTTTCATGACCTTGACATTTTGGATGACTACTGGTCAGTTATTTTCTAGCATGCCTCTCAATTTGGGTTTATCTAATGCCGTCTCATAATTTGATTGAGGTCATGCATTTTTGGCAACAAAACCACAGAAATTATGTGCATTGTATCCGCGAGTACATGATGTTGATGTATCTTATCAGTCGTTACGTTAACTATAATCACTTGGTTAAGATGGTGTCTGCTAGGTTTCTCTGCTGTAAAGTGATCAGCTTTACTTTTGTGCAAATTGATACTATCTTCTTTGTTTATTCATTATCCTCTATAACATGCCATTGATTGTAAGGGGCATCCCAATAGCCAACCTGTCGAAATGTGAACAGTCGTGATGGATAATGCACTTTTATAATTATGGTCAAACAAGAAGGGGAGGCAGGGGAAAATAGACCAAGGGTACGACAGAGAAAGTAGCAGCAGCAGGCTACCAGAAAGAAAGAACACTGGAGAATGGCAAACCCAAGAAGTTGTGTGATGTTCATGTCCCTGGCTCACGCTCCTGTGGGGAGGCCCCTGGGCAGTGCCCACGGCTACCTCTAACTTATGATCCTCCTGCATCTGGAAGCAGATTTTCTGCCTTTCTTTTTTCATTATAAATAACATTCCCCCTCCCCCATTATAAAAGTTATAAAAGTTATGCATCTTTATGAAGGGAAAAGAAAATACAAAATAAATTTTTTAAATCATCCAGAAATAAGAATAAAAATAAAATGTAACAAAATGTAAATAAAATGGGATATAATGTCACCCCCACTATTTGGTATCACAGTTACTCTGTGCTTCCTTCCAGTCTTTCTGTCTCTTATATAACTGGATATATGCC